CTCATCTCTTCAGCCACCCGGTGACCTCTTTGTTACTTGTGCTTTCCAATGCTATTCCTGTCCTGACTTTAGTGATCTTACTGTCCCATGGAGGAGGCTAAACGCACGTAAGCCTCCCACTCTCTCAGCGTGCTCCCACGCACTGATCGTCTCTCCTCAGTTTAACCGCTGAATCCTACCTATGGCCTTGCCACTAACATCACCGCTAATCCTGTCACTTCTGGACTCTCAGTTCCAGGCAGGCTAGTTTGCATCATTATTCATTTCCAAGAACCCCTTAAAAAAATCTTATCTTGGATTTTAGAGTCTAGCACTTACGCCACTTCCTTTGAAAGCCTGCTTTGCTTCTGGGATTCTCTTCCGGCAAACTCCTAGCCCGCGTTAGACCTTCTAGTCCTGGCTGTGGCAGGAATGGTAGCAGTATAACACATGCCCAGGGTATTTTTGCTCGTCTTCTTACTTTTCTGCAGTGCTGGGAATTGAACTCAGGACCTTACGAATGCTAAGCAAGTACTCTACCATTGAGACCATCTCTATTTTCTTTATTTTTTTCAGTAGTAGAGACCTAAGATTTCACATGTGCTAGATAAACACCCTGCCAAGGAGCTAAATTTTCAGCCTTTTACATTTTATTTTGAGATAGGTACTAACTTTCCCAGGCTGGCTTTGAACTTGCAATCTGCCTGCCTCTGCTTCCTGAGTAGCTGGAATTACAAGCATATGCTACCATGCTCAGCTCTCACATGATATTTACAGCCGCAAATCTGAAGTAGTTTTTCTGCTAATGGTCCTTTTATATACCACTACTTATATACTCCCTTTCACGTCTAAAATGACTTTTGCTTTTCTACTTCTCTAGACAGACTTCTGTATACCCCATATTTTCACCTTCACATCCTCAGCTACTGACTTTTCCGAGAAGGGAAGGCAATTTTCCTATGTTTCTGTCCCCATTTGACCACTTTCCTGCATTGCTGCTCGTAGATGCTGCCTTCTGAGAAAGGCTGAAGCATTCCTGTGCCTTTCTTTGCCTTCTTACCTGCATCCTTCACTTCATCAGCTACTTTACTACCTTTCAAAGATAAGAATCCCATCCTTGGGTTGGAAAGATGGCTCAGTGGTTAAGAGTACTTCCTGCTTTTCCAGAGGACCACCGTCCCATCACCAACACACAGTGTCTCACGATCGTCTGTAACTCCGGTTCCAGGGGACCTGATGCCCTCTTATGGCCTTTGCTGGCACTTCATGGACATGGTGAATGGATAAGCAGGCACACACTGATACACAGAACTAGAAATAAATATAAATTTTAACCTGAGTGTGGTGGCACACACCTTTGATGCCGGTACTGAGCAGAGGCAGGCAGATCTAGCTTAGTCCGCATAGTGAGTTCCAGGACAATAGGACAATCAGGGTTATTTTAAATAAATAAATAAATAAACAAACAAATAAATAAATAAATAAATAAATAAATAAATAAATAAATAAAAGGAATCCTATGCTCTGGTATGCAGACTAGGATATCCATTTTTTATCTGAGCTTGCAGGTAATCCCAACCGTATGCAAGACTAATGCAAAAAGAGTGTGAGCTCTTTATAATTGTGAACATCTGTGCGTGGCAGGGCTATGTGCACGTGCACGCAGGTGCTTGCAGAGGCCAGAGCTGTCAACGTGGTTGTGAGGAAGAGAACTTTGATATTTTGCAAGAGCAGTAAGTGCTCCCCGTCACTGGGCTACCGCTTCAGTCCCCATTTCCACAGTTTTAAAAACCAAGTATAACCAGTATGTCCTGAGCATTTGTGCTTATGACCTCCCCTTAGAGCTCTGACCTCTTCACGTGCTTGTTTCAAGCTCTTCATGGCCTGACTTTTCCTTCCCACCCATCTTCCCCATCACCATCACAGGTTGATTGAAACAAAAGCCTTACTTCTCATGAAGTTCTAATTACTTCTCTCCTCTCACTCCCACTGTGACCCCACATGGCATGGGAGACAGTTCTATAACTCCACCTTAAAAATACCTTCAGTTTTGTTCACTCCTATCTGTTATGGCTTCCAAGCTGAGGCTCTGACTTCTCTCCTGTGCTTGCAACAGTTTCTGGCTTCACTCTTATCCTGCAAACCTGTTCTAAGAGACTTTAGAAAACACAGGTGGGCTGTGTCATTCATCTCCAAAGCTTCTCACGTCCTTTCTGCTCACGTGTTCTGTTCCTCAGGCATTCTTTCTGCATCCTGCTAAGTGCTTTCTTCTTTAAGTCTTAAAGCTGTGTTAGGTGCTGCACATATTTTGTTCTCTTCTCTCTCTCTCTCTCTCTTTTTGGTAAACAAGGTCTCAGCTTCTGCACTCTCCCTTCAGCCTTCCCCTGGCCTCTGAAATACACAGTAGTCTTTCTTCTAGTCACTCTGACATTTGGATACATGAAAGTTCTTTCACAGTTTTTCAAAATTATTTTCTTCACTAAATTGTTTAGCCTCTTCCTTCCTTCCTTCCTTCCTTCCTTCCTTCCTTCCTTCCTTCCTTCCTTCCTTTCTTTCTTTCTTTCTTTCTTTCTTTCTTTCTTTCTTTCTTCATTTATTCATTTAAGCCCTGGCTGTCCTAGAACTCACTTTGTAGACCAGGCTGGCCTCAGACTTACAGAGATCCTCCTGCCTTTGCCTCTCAAGTGCTGGGATTAAAGGCATGTGCCACCATGCGTGGCCTAGCACTTATTTTTATTATCTGTCTGAGATTGTGAGCTCCCTTTGAGTTATGATCATCTTTTGTGTTTATTTGCTTGTACCTGTTTTGTTTAAGATAGTGTCTTGGTATGTAGGTCTTGAATTTATAATCCTTTCCACTCAGCCTAGTAGAAAAGCCATGGGGGGGTCTCAAGAACTTGGCTTCACAGTCCAAAGAACTGCAAGGCAAAAAGGCTTATCTGCTAACTGTGCTGAACCAAGCAAGCACCTCCAACAGGGCTCCGTGCCTTACTCTGTCAGTTTAGAACTTGGCTGTGCTCTTACCAGCGGGCACTGGTGTAGTTGATAAGAATAATAAAACATTTTAGCATATATTTTTTTTAACTTTTTTAATTACACTTTATTCACTTTGTATCTCCCCATAAACTCCTCTCTCCTCCCCTCCTAATCCCACCTTCCTTCCCCCTTCTTCACGCATGCCCCTCCCCAAGTCTACTGATAGGGGAGGTCCCCCTCTCCTTCCTTCTGATCTTAGTCTATCAGATCTCATCAGGAGTGGCTGCATTGTCATCCTCTGTGGCCTGGTAAGGTTGCTCCCCCATAAGGGGGAGGTGATCAAAGAGCAGGCCAATCAGTTCATGTCAGAGGCAGTCCGTCTTCCCACTTGGACACTGAACTGCCCTGGGCTACATCTGTGCAGGGGTTCTAGCATTGAGCATATATTTTGATTTTGGAAAAAATGCAAAATTTTGCATTTTTTTCTATTTCTTTTTTACAATTTTCTATTAAAATAGTTCTTCCTTATCTTGTTTAACGCTTTGATAGAGAAGACAGTTACATTCTCCTTGTGCTTTCCACAGCCTCCCTAGTACCAGGATTACATACCTGCACTGTATTTGCTTCTATGTTTATTGTTTTTAAACTATTTTACTTTATGTATTTGAGTGTTTTGCCTATACATGTATATGTATATATATATGTTTTATGCATTACATGCATACCTGGTATCTGAGACACTGGAATTACAGACAGTTGTGAGCTACCATGTATATGCTGGGAATCAAACCTGGGTCTTCCGGAATAACAGCTTGTGTTCAGTCTCTCTAGCCCTTCTGTGTTTATCTTATTTACTGCTCACTTACTGGCCTTAAGAATACTCAGCATATGGTAAAAGCTCATTAGAAAGAAAGCAACAAAGAAGGAAAGAGATGGGAGAAGGAGGAAAGAAAAACCCAGAAATAACAAGTAAAATTTCCAAGGTCATATAGTTCACAAGTGGCCAAGCCACATACTGAACTCCAAATTATATGATCCAAAATCAATGTTCCAGATCATCTTACTTTGTTGTCACAAAGACATGTGGCCTGGACAGTATAGTGAAAGGCTTTCACAAACATTATCTAACTTACTCTTCACTGTTCCCTTGTTGTTTTTAACAAAATGTCAATCTTTGATTTTACCAATAAAGACTTAGATGCTTGGGTGAAAGCCTGCTAGCTCAGAGAGGCAGAGAAGGCACCTAGACCTTCCTCCCCAGAAGGACTCCTTTTCTCAAACAACCTTCTTCAAAATGAATGTCTTTCCCTTCTACTTGCTGTGTATCTCGCTATCTGTCCTCTTCACACTCTCTTACTTTCTATGTTTTTTTCTTAATGACCCTATGTTCACTTCCAGTCAACTGGCTGCTTACCTCATTTCTTGACTTAGGTTGACTTCATTTAATCTGATTTACAATATTCAAGCAGAAAGCTTGGATTAAAGGTGTATGGTAAAGTTGAGCAACACTACAACTAAAAACTTTTTTTTTCCAGTAAATAAAACAATCTCAGAGTTCACAATGTGATCAAATATCCTGCAACATTACCTGGCACAATATAGTAACAGCTTTGCTTCGTCCACATGTGGGAGCCAAAGTCCAGAAAGGCTTACCTACTTGGCGAGGGCCGTGGGCAAAGCAACAAGAGGACAGTCCATAAGCAAGTCAGGAATTTGAGTTTCCAGGAAGCCCGTACTCTGTGCTCGTAACCAAGTGAATCTTATATGTGCCAATGGCTTACTGAATCACTTTCCAGAAAGTTCACATGGGAGCTGGGAGCATATTAAATATATTGAGGCTAAAGAAAGCCTTGTTCCTGAGGAAAGCAGGGATGTGGGGTCCCGACACCCCTGCCTTTGAGTTGCACAGAGATCATCTCCAAAACGTACAACAAAGTAGTTTGGGGACCTGGACATATCAGGGGTACTTTGCTGAACTGTAGGAAATAAGGTGCTTTAGATTAAGTTGAGCTTGTTCTAATGTGAACTTCTCTCTCCTCCTACAGGTCTGGCTTTCTTGCCTGCCAGTGTGGCCTACCTCATTGGCACAAACCTTTTTGGTGTGTTGGCCAACAAAATGGGTCGGTATGTAGCCTGGGAAACTGGAAGAATGACAGAATCATCACCTACAGTGCCCTGGGAGCTTGTCCCTGTACTTGGGATAGTTTAGAACACAGTGATAAAAATTGCCATGTAGAGGGCTGATGGGTAGGTGAAGGACAGCATAGAAAATGGATTATCCTTAATGGGGCTTCTTTTGCAGAAACAGTGGTTACATAGAGATAGCCCTTCCTTTTCAGCTAAAGAGGTAAAGTCATCCAATAGCCAACAGAAATCAGGATAGCCAAAAAAATAGCCAAAAAAATCAGTATATACTTTGGGGCAGCAGTTGCATGAAGCCCTAGGGAATTCTAGGTAGGAGCATCAGAAATGCATGAGGGATTTGGGTTTGAAGGGGCAAGAAGTATGAATCTAGACTCTCTTCCCCTACTACAATGATGAAATGGCTTTGGTTCTAATGTTATCATTGTAGTTCAGCACAAGTTTTTTTAAAAAATACATTGGAAAACACTGCTATAGGAAATTGGGTACGAGGAGAAATTGCATATTTTCATGAGGTTTTTGAGATGAATTTGTAAGATTACATAGGTTATGAGTATGCAGAGTTTGAACTGGGCTAGAGAGAGATGCTCAGTTGGTAAATCCACTTGCCATAAAAGCCTAGTGACCTGAGTTCAATTCCCAGAACCCACAAAGAGGCAGAAGGAGAGAAATGACTCCATGAAGTTTTTCTCTTGACCTCCACATGCATGCTGTAGTGTGTCACCCCCTTTTCACAACACTAATAATAATCAATAAATAATCAAGAAAAACTATAAAAAAAAAAAAACAGCCTGACCTGGCAAACACCAATAATCAAAGCCCAAGAGCGTCTCAGTTCTCAGGGAAACCAGCCACTGTGATACTCCCAACACTGCTACGAAAAGAACTATGACCTCAGGGTAGAGATGAGGTCAAGCGAAGGACAGGGACAGAAAGAGGTTCCATCTGGTCCTGTAGAGCTGCAGTTCCTTCCCAGAATCTAGGGGCTAACTTGAACTAGGGTATGAAGGACTGGATGAGGTGACAAGCAGTGGCCCTCTCCCCGCAGGCAGTGTGTGACAATGGCTCTGTTTTTCCAGGTGGCTGTGTTCCCTTGTTGGAATGGTGGCAGTAGGTGTGAGCTTGCTCTGTGTAAGTACAACACCCAGTTGATAAAGGAAGAACACTAGACGATTTAAGATAGTTTTCCTTCAAAGGAACAGTCGGCTACTTGGTAGGAATGTCTAGAAAACTGTTTCTACACGGTCAGAAATCGATGTTGGAGGAGATGCTGACAACTGAGATGGCGTGTCATCAAAAGGAGGTGGAAATGGAAGGAAATAGGGCAGTGGGTGGGGACCAGAGGTGCAAGGCTGTGCACATGGATATGTGAAGTGAGACGTGCTCTATTTCTGGAGCCAGCCAGCCAGCCAATGGTGTTTTATAAATCCATTTATTCAATATACTGAGACAATTCCCATAAGCCACCAGGGCAGGTACCATCTATGGCTCAGTCTCTAGAACCAAAAAAGTTAGTAGAGAAAAGCAAACAGGCATTTCCATCTTCAAGAGCCCTTTGTACTCCCAGATGATACGGTCTCATGTCCTCAGTGGAGACCATCAGTCCATTTGGTGCCAGGCTAAAAGTGTTGTGAAAACAGAGCCATAAAGCTCTGAGCACTGCACCCGCCCAGGGTGAGCTCAAGTCCCTCGTGATGGATGTGAGCTCAGAGCTCCAGTCCAGCTTTATCACTTGCTGTTTTTGTGGGTCTGCTCAGTATATTGTCATACAAGGATTATTCTATCCTCTCACAGGGTGCCTGAGGTAATCTACATGGACTGTAGAATGAGGAGGGCACATAAAAAGCCCTCAGACAGTCCGCCCTGTCACTGATAAATATGAACACCACATGGGCTGTTGCTCCAGAAGTGTACCGAGCTGCTAATGCTCAATGGGATGAAGAACCTGCAAGGGCTGTGTGACGGGATGGTGGGGTTGGCTGCCAAGGAAAGGATAGGAGCACTGCTTAAATGGGAAGGATAGGATTTCAGTGGGGGCAGGGTGTAAATGTTTGTCATCACTTGCCCCCGTGGCACCCAAATGATGCCACCAATCTCTCTAGCTGTTGAGCTGTTAACTGTTGGGTTCAATTTTTGTCTTTTTGCTACAATGGTTACCAAGTTAGGTTTCAAATAAAACCATTGGCATAAAATTCGGTGGTGCAGGTCTTCAATTCCAGATACTCCAGGAGACTAGGATGCTCCAGGGTCAGAGGTGCAGAGCTTGCCTAGAATGCTACAGTGTGAGTTCAAGTCTAGTTTGGGAAATTCAGTGAGACTCCATCTCAAAAAGAAATAAAAGAAGGGCGTGTGTGTGTGTGGGGGGTTGTCTCCCCTGCACAAGGCCCTAGGTTCAATTCCCGGTACTGTAAAATAAGTAACAAGCAAATTTGATGGTGCAGTGGTAGCCACAGACAGTGATGAATGAGGACAGCAGTGTGTTGGGTAGAGAGTGGCAGATGACGAGGAAGAATAGTTCGTGAACAGAAAAGGACCCTTGCTGCGATACAATGGAGTTGAGTCCGAGGTTCAAACTTGATCTTGCTGCTTATTGGCTTCATAACTTTGGGTGGTACCAGTCCAGTTTTCATGTGGTCCAAGTGGAGAGGAAGATTATTCTTAGGTGTGAGAAATCCAAGGTAATGCATGTGGCACATGTCATTTGAAGACTTGGCACGGCACCCTGCCCCTCCTAGCCCAGTGGAGCTCTGCTGAGGAACTCTTCTCCCTTCCCTTTCCAGGTACCTCTGGCTCACAATATTTTTGGTCTCATTGGCCCCAATGCAGGCCTTGGCTTTGCCATAGGTAAGCAGTTCCCTCAAAGTCAAAATGAAGCCTTTGAAAATCCCATTAGGCCAGATTCCATTCCACCCCATCTTCCCATCAGAAGAGGGAGGTAGAAAGGCCGGGATGGGAGAAAAGCTGGCAGATGTGCAGAATGGGCTTATGGTTCTTCCCTGGACCTGTGTTGGTGTTTAGTGTGGGGACAGCAGGCCAAGGGAGTAGACTAAATGGTGGCAGAGTGGAGGGAGCAGCTATAGGAAAGCTGGCTAACGGCATCCTTCTTGTTCCGATCATAGGCATGGTGGATTCCTCTTTGATGCCCATCATGGGATATCTGGTGGACTTGCGCCACACCTCTGTGTATGGGAGTGTCTACGCCATTGCTGATGTGGCTTTTTGCATGGGTTTTGCTATTGGTATGTTGGTTGGGGCAGATGGCTCCTGGGCCTGAGTCTCCCCTCTCCATTGTAGCCTATCTGGATGTGGAAGCAGTGGCCTTATTCTTGTAGCTATCTGAAGATAGTGGAATCTGCCACACCCTCTGTCCCAGCACGGTATGTCACAGGTGACTGACTTAACAAACACTGGGAACTTGGTTTATTTCCCACAGGTCCGTCTACTGGGGGTGCCGTGGTACAGGTCATTGGCTTCCCTTGGCTCATGGTCGTCATTGGTGTCATCAACATCGTTTACGCCCCTCTCTGCTGCTTCCTGCAGAATCCCCCAGCCAAGGAGGAGAGGCTTGTAAGGCACCCTGAGTACTGACTAAAACACATGTCTGTTTCTTCCTGAGTCCCCCTGACCCTTCACCTCGAGCTCATTTCCACTCTGCTGGTCATTTCTCTGCTTTGTAGCATTTCTGTTTTTCCTAAATTGCTTATCCTTCCCTTGAACCCTTGGCTTTCACCTCTTTCTCTAAGCAACCAGCTCCCCTATTATCTGGATTTTAAGTAAGAGGGGGAGCAGGCATGGTGACACACATCTGAAATCCCAGCATTTGGGAGACAGGGGTAGTATAGCAGTTCAAGGTAATCTTCAGCTACATATTGAAGGTCAGCCTGGCTTTCATAATCCCTACTCATTAAAAAAAAAAATCAAAACTAAACTAAACTAAAAAAAAAAAAAAAGAAAAATGAGAATCTTATAACTTTTATTATGGATGTTGCCGATAAAAGGCATCCTGTGGTTACTATAGCCAATAGCAAGGCTCAATTTACTAAGTCATCTCTTTTGTAAATAGTAACATTCCATTGAGTACGTTCCTTCATTTACTCAAAAGCTCATTCATTTGAATCTTCCCTTATCTTTATCAGGTGATGTCTTTTTACAAAATGTATTTCATTTATTTATTTTTTGTCTGTGTATGGTACATGCAAGTTAGTGTGTAAGAGGAGGATGTTGTCTTCTTTTATTATTCTCTGCCTTAATGCCTTGAGACAGAGTCTGTCAGTGAACCAGAGGTGTGCCCTCTGGTCTGGGCTGTCTGTCTCCATCCACCAGTACTCGGATTACAGCATATGACCAGAATAGTCTTTTATATGGGTGCCGGGGACTCAAGCTCAGTCCTTATGCTTACAGGGTAAGTGTTTGTACTGACTGGCTCATCTCTCAGCTCAGGCCTTTTAAAGTTAAAAATTAGTCTCCAGGTGAACGGTCCTCCACACCGTATGATTACGTTAATACAATACTTTGCTCTTGTTGCAGGGTGGACATCCCAGCAGCCCTAGGTTCCTCGGGTATTCAGAATGGATGTGGCAGCTGCGCAAAGGAACAGAAGTAGGCAGGAAGGTCTAGAGAGAGGAGTGCTCAGTTCAGCCAGCTTCTTGCTATGCCTTGTACCTGCTAATGCTAGGCTTCAAGCACCTGTGTATCAGATGTTTGTCCTGACTGGGCTTGATATGCCCAAGTATCTCGGAAGGCCTGAGTCTATACTTGAGGCAGAAAGAGGATGCTATATTTATCTCTTGAGTTTTTCTAAGTAACACTAAGCTTGGATATACTAGTGTGAACAAGAAACAGGTGGTCAAAGACAAGCAGTAATCTCTATACTTGCCTTTTGCTGCAGGCAATTCTGAGCCAAGAATGCCCCATGGAGACCCAGATGTATGTATCCCAGAAGCCCACAAAGGAGTTTCCACTAGGAGAGAACAGTGATGATCCTGGCAGTGAGGAGTAGCCACAGAGGGCGATACCTTAGCCCAATCCCAGGTGACTCCATAAGGCTTGGATTTCAGTGACCACCTGTTCCCCGGGGACTGCACCACCATGGACTAGTCAACAGGCTTGGCTTTCCTCTGCTCTAGGTGTCGCCTCCCTCCTCCCTTCTCCTCGATGGCTTGCCCTTACTCACCTATGAAACCCACTGCTCTCTGTCTGTGCTTTCTCACCACAGGTGGCCCACTTTTTGTGAGAGGACAATGCTACTTCCTGCCAGACCCAAACGAGGCTGGTTAAAGTTGAGTTGTGACAGGTTCTACAAGGCATGACTCACTTCCTGCAGGCAGTACTGAACATTGTGCCTGTGGAACCAGAGGAACAAACAGCCAGGCTTGCTTTGTTCTGTGATTTTCTTTGACATATTCCCAACAGGTCATGGGATTTGATCGCTGTCCTGTGATGTTTTTTCCTTATTTTAATTTTTTTGCAGTTGAGCTTCAATATATAGCTTTTTCCTTATTAAAAAAAATATGTATCTTTATCTGTGGGTGTATGTGCTAAAATTACTTCACCTTCATTAAATGAGGCCTTCCTACTTTCTTCATCACCCAGTCAAAAGGAAATAGGCAGCTTTCTTAGGCTTGAGTCATGTCTGTTCTTGTGATTTTCATATATGTTTCTATGCTTCCCAAACCTCTGAAACCCTTACAAATAAAAGTGGTTGAAGGACAGAAAACAACAACAAAAATCAAACCAACTCCGTTCATTGCATTAGACTCAAGAGTGCTCTGCATGAAGCAAAAGAAACGTGAGATTTCTCCCAGTGTGAGTTTCTTAATACCAGGCATTGAATAAGGCATTCATTGTTCACGTGTGTCAATGAGCAAGTCATTATCCAATTCACACATGATAAGCCAGATGCTGCTTTGTGGCTGGAGAGAGTTTGTGGGAAAATACAGTGGGTGTTATAAGTCACATGACATTGTGCTACATTTTTGAAATGGTTATTGGGTGATGGAGTTTCAAAGATACGGGAGACATGACACTCATCCTAAGTAGCTTCTCATTTGTTTGAGCAAACAGAATAAAATTTATAAACAAGCCAAGTTAGCATGTGCTTTTCATGTACATGGAGGCTCGGGTGCTCAGGGCTGGGTGGGGGATAATGGCAGAGGTGGAGAGGGGAGGCTGTGGAAGGGACTCTGATCTCAGATAGGGCTGTTCAGGCTTGACCTGGACCTCAGTGTTCTTCCCTGGGAGCTGGATAGGTTCTGGACGAACCCTGATTCACTAGAACACAGTTTGGATAGCGCTCAATGAATCTGTGTACTTGGACAATGAATATCTGATTAGTGGTTTATTTTTTGTGGGGTCATTTGGCTTTAAACTAGACTTCCTTAACTTTCAGAACCAGATGGATTTCATTTAGTGCAAATGGCATGTTTCTCACATTTTAAAGGTGCATAAAGGTAAAATTAGCAAATGATTTACCTCCTTTCTAAGCCATAGCTCCCAATGAAGGCAGGGGGGAGGGAGGGAGAGAGAGTATGAATGCAGACCACCAAAGCTTTAAAGTGGGAAGGGAGGGACCACATCCATGTGGGTGGGGTTTGTAATAAAAGTTGAGCTTGGGGGCTGGAGAGAGAGATGGCTCAGAGGTTAAGAGCACTGGCTGTTCTTCCGAAGGTCCTGAGTTCAATTCCCAGCAACCACATGGTGGCTTACAACTATCCAACGATAGTGAGATCTGGTGCCCCTCTTCTGGTGTGCAGGCACACATGCGGGTAGAATACGGTATAAGTATTAAATAAGTAATAAGTAAATAATAATAACTAATAAGTAATAAATAAACATCTTCGAAAAACATTTTTAAAAAGTTGAGCTTATTACAGAAACTATTAATGTATGTTACAAAAAAGGGATGAATTTAACAAAAATTATCAAGGATGAACTTGGTCTCTATTAGTGCCCTTGTCAGCAACACGGAAAGAATATATAGTAAGCATCAAACATTAGGAAGGCCATGCCGACCTTCAAGACGTGAAAATGTCAATCCAGTGAGAATGAGACTGAAGGACTGAGATGTGCTTTTCTCTTCACAAAAGGAGGTAGTCCATGGAACTCCCAATGATAGCTACACAAAGAAGGCAGGAGAACTTCAAAATGCTAGAAAAATGTCGGACATTCTCAGACTGGAGACAAACCAAGTGTGGCACTTCCACTTTTAAGAGGCAGACAGTACGGGAGGACTTGGAGAAAGACTGTCTTAGTCACTGTTTTATTGCTGTGAAGAGCTACCATGACCATGGCAGCTCTTTTAAAGAAAAACATTTAATTGAGGCTGGCTTACAGTTTGAGAGGTTTAGTCATTATCGGCATGGCGGGAAGCATGGTGGCATGCAGGCAGACGTGGTGCTGGAGAAGGAGCTGAGGGTTCTATGCCTGGATCCACACTTCCTCCACCAATGCCACACCTCCTAATAGTGCTACTCCCTATGGGCCAAGAATTCAGTCACATGAGTTCCACCCCCCTTAGGTTTTCCGAGACAGAGTTTCTTTGTGAAGCCTTGGCTGTCCTGGACTTGCTTTGTAGACTAGGCTGGCCTCAGACTTACAGAGATCTGCCTGCCTCTGCCTCCCATCACTTCAGAAACACAGTTGGGACTTCCCTCTGCCTGCATTCTTCTCTCCCCTCCTTGCTCCGTACTTTTCCTTTTCCTCCTCCCTCTCCTCTTCCTTGCCCTCCTTCTCCTTTGGTTCCTCCTGCTCTCCTTTCCTTTCCTCCTCCTTTCATTCTTGTTCTAGAGGAGGAAGGTCAGGGTTATCAGAGGCAGGAGAATGAGCAAGCTCTGTTTACATTTGTCCTCCAGATTGAGTAGTCATAGTTTCCTGCATGAAGATGTTTTAGTCAATGATGGACTGAATATATGACTGTGGTCCCATTGATGATAATAAAGCTCAAATATTCCCAGTGATATTGATCTGACTTAATGCCAAATCGCAGTCCACACCTCAGCTGTCTGTGGAGATACTGGTATATATGAACCTGCCGTGCCAGTCATGCCAAAATTGAGCAGTTAATGTGTGTGATATGTAGTAAAGACAACCAACAACCATGATAGTGAGCCTATGTATATACACACTGGACTTTTTAAAGATTTGTCTTTTTGCATGAAAGTTTTGCCTGTATATCTGTATTGGCTGCTCTTTGATCACCTCCCCCTGAGGGGGAAGCAGCATTACCAGGCCACAGAAGAAGAAAGGCAGCCACTCCTGATGAGACCTAATTGACTAGGATCAGAAGGAAGGAAAAGAAGACCTCCCCTATCAATGGACTTGGGGAGGGGCATGCATGCAGAGGGGGGAGGAAGGGAGGGATTGGGATGGGAGGAGGGAGGGAACCACAGGGGGGATACAAAGTGAATAAAGTGTAATTAATAAAGAATTTTTAAAATATAAAAATAAAATAAAAAAGAATAATAAAATAAAAATGATAAAACAACAAAAAACACAAACAAACAAACAAACAAACAAAAAACCCAAGAAACTCAGGCATTGGTATTATCTGGGCGGTGACAGCTCCATACAAGTTGGTATCTCCAGAGGCCTTCTAGTGAGAGGAAGCAGAAGACAGTGATCCTGACCTTGCATAGTCCTGGCTATTTGTGTCTTAGTTTTCAATTTGATAAACTTTAAAAATCAAAATTAAAATTTAGATGTAGCAATAAGTTTATATAGAGTATAAAGACAAAATAGTTTAGTGGGTTTATTTTTGTTTGTTTGATGCTGTTGGTTGGTTGGTTTTCCTAAGTATCTTAGGCTTACCTTGAACTCACAGCAGTCCTGCTGAGAGCTTTCTGAGTTTTATGATCGCAATCATACATTACCAAGTTCATCTAGATAAAAAATTCTTGTACAGCTGTATAGTGCATTTGTTTGTATTTTAGCCAAGTATTATTTGACAAAATAGTAAAAACAAACAGCTGGAAAATAGAAGCTTTATAAAATAAAAATGCTAGTGTAATCTAAATTTGTTTATTAGTAAAATAATTTAAAAATAAATGTAGCCCAGCCCGTGTGTTCCGTGCTTATAACTCTTCAGCACTGTGTGGTGACATCCTCCACACTCCCCTGCCATCCAGTCCCTGACCCCAGAGCAGTGTCCAATCCTGCTGGTACAGTAAGGGCTGTGGCCGCCATGGGTGTGCCGTTGCAGTTTTCATCCTGTGCGGCCAACGTACCTTTTCTGTATTTGGATATGTCTAGACACGCTAATGCTTAACCACTTCTGAGTTACCTGAATCGTTCTGCATTTGTCTGCGGTACCCAGCTACAGAATGAGCTCTCTGGTTTGTGGCTTGGGAACAAAGCGGGCTGTACCATGCAACTTAGGTGTCTGCAGGGCCCCACCTCCAGGACGTGCAGGCCAGGCAGTGCTCTTGGACTTAGTTGTACCTCTAGCCCCTTGTTTTTACTTTTGTTTTGTTTCAGTTGCCCAGGATGGTCTTGAATTTATTCTGTATCCCACACACCCCTTGAACTTATGATTCTCCTGCCTCCATCCTGTGTAGCGAGGGCGACAGGTCTGTGCCACTAGGCTAGGCTCTAACTGGGTTCATGCTCACACAACCAGGAAAGTGGCAAATGATTCTTTCTTCATAGTGGATTGGTAGACTGTAATTATTAAATAATGCGTGATCATAGTTAAGACAATGCCTCACACATAAAAAAAAACAGATTTTTATTAGTTACTTTTGCTTCTTAGAAGTTTCATATAGAATATTCTGTTCACTTTCTCCCACATTCTCTTTTCTCACTGCCACTCAAGTCTCATTCGTGTCTTTTTGTGTTGTTTCTGACTGAGTTTAACTAGGGCCATCTGTGTGACAATGGGTTTGAATGAATGCTGGTGTACTCACCAGCAGGTATGACATTAGATTTTGTGCCCCACCTGTGGGGCTCAGCTGGCTAAGGTTGAAGTCGGTCAGATAGTCAATTATTTGCACTTGGTCTATGATGACAGAATCTCTTTTCTCAGTGGGATTTTGTATCTCCCCTGTTCTGGGGGGATTAGATTACAAGCCAGACCCTTCCCTGATAAGGAAACTGCTCTAACAATTCCTAGAAATGACCCACTCTGCTAAGATCTTAGTCCAGCAGTGACCTTCAATTGTACTTGGAGGCCCCACCCCCACCCCATAGACTCCAGTGAAACACATTTCACCTTCGAAATCCCTCCCTCTGCCCAGGGTTTATACTACCCCTGATTACCCATGAATAAAGGCTCGTGCTTTCTCAAGATTGTCTGAGCGTCGTTATAATTTCCATTTCCCTGATCACTAAGAATGTTGAACATTTCTTTAAGTTTTGCCACCATTCTATATTCCTTTGTTGAGAATTCTCTGCTTAGCTCTGTACCCATTTTTAAATTGGATTGTTTAGATTGTTAGTGTCTAATTTCTTGAGTTCTTTATATAGTCTGGATGTTAGCCCTCTGTCAGATGTAGGGTTGGTAAAGATCTTTTCCCGATCTGTAGGCTG